CTCAAATTTTTGTATGAAGTTGCTCACGTGAAGCCGTCTGATTTTGATTTTTAAACAATGTGCGGATTGAAGTTTGGCTCGAAATGATTCAAAATTGATTAGCGAAATTAGCGCCTCTATGTCATACCGTTATGTTTTACGAAACAGGTACGAAATGGAAAGTGCATCGATACATGAATGGCTGCATTGTGAGAAAATGATTGGATTAGCATGTTTATTACATGAAACTGTTTGAAGTGCCCTTTGAGAAATTTCCATGATATATATATATAAGTTAAAAAAGTGTGATCCTTTGAACGAAGAATAAAAATCCTTTTTGATGTTGGAGTAGAACAATAAATCCCTCACCGTAGAATAAAATACCCTTTTAATGAAGTAATAAACCCTTTTCTCGAAACCGCATATTAAAATACTCTCCGAGATAAAATCATATACCCTTCTCCCTAAATTTCAGATTAATAAATGCTTTTTTTTTCTTGTATCATCTTTTTTTCATATAACCTTCGTTTCATAAACCCTTCAAGGGTTTAGCATGATTTGCAGGAAGGACACCGGTTTATTATTCTACTCTTTTTATTTACAGTGCACTATGCAATATTGTAAAAGGCAACTGTCCTTGCTGTGAAAGTCTGTCTAAAATACTCTTTCACCAGGTCGAACAGTCCGACCTAGAAACGGTCGGTTCCCGGTACTTCAGTTGATTTTGCGGAAGCAGTATTCCGGTAGGAAATTTGTCGGCGATTTCCGATCAATTCCTGCCGGTAAGCACCGGAACTTGCCAGGAATCCGCCGGAAAAAAACCAGCCGTATTTTTGACCGAAATATTGCTGTCATGTTCCAGCGATTTCCTGTGTTTTCCTGCAGGATATGGTGACTTTGCCGCATATTTCCTGGAGTATCCTACGGGATCCAGTGATGGGAATGTTTGACCTGGGTTCATGAACAATAATATAAACCCTTTGATTGAAAACGTAAAATAAAGTACCCTTTCATGAACAATAATAAACCCTTCTATTGAAACCGTAGAATAAAATACCCTTGCATGGAAACTAATAAACCCTTATATTGAAATCGTAGAATAAGATACCCTTTGGCGAACAATAATAAACCCTTATCCTTGAATCTTGAAGCAAAATACCCTTTTTTATCATATACCCTTGGTTTCATAAACCCTTCTAGGGTTTATGATAGCGTCATAAACCCTTTAAGGGTATATGAATATTTATAGATAGGGCAAGCGTTTATTAGCCTACGCTTTTTTTACAGTGTATCTTGTATGGAAAAGATATATCAGTCTGCTAGTCTCAACGTTTGCTTTTCACCAATCGATTTAAGTCGAGAATGAGTATATAATATATATATTTATTTAACACCCTTAACGATAATAAAACTACTTTCAAGAATTCAAATTAACCTTTTAGAAACGAAAAATTAATTAAAACAAACTATTTACACAGAATTTTCTTCAAAATGAAAAATGAAAAAAAGAAAAACAGATGGAAGTTCAAGATATTGTCATAGTTATGATGTAAATAAAATATTCTTACTAGAATATTGCGAATTTTTTACTAACGAGTCAATTGTGACCGTATTATTCTTCGCTTCAAATATCATTTTCATTTCATAATATTGTAATTTAAAATTTGCTTCTTTATATGGTTGTAATCACCATGATGGAAATTATAATTTGTGCGATAGAATTAATATTCTTATGTTAGTAATCTAATTTTAATTCTATCCCATCAATGTTTGCCATGAAAAGAGATTTGTATATACGATATGTGGGATCAAACAGTTGTTTTGAGGAATCAATTGTATCGAGATATAATTTAATTTTAATACATGTATCAGTACAAGTACTAATTCCAACCATTTCACTAATAATAATAATAATAATAATAATAATAATAATTTCTAATAATTAAATTAAAGAGAATCTCGATTGAACGCATCACACGACCAGTTTCGTCCTTGCTTAGAGGACTCATCAGGTATGTTCTCAACAGATAATTACATAAAAGTTAAAAACTCTTCAATAAAAATCAGAAGAAGTTAAAAACTAAAACTAAAACGTAATAACAAGAAAAACTTTAATTTCAAATAATTAAATTAAGCATGCATTTTATTTCAATTTTTCTTTTCTATTGAGACAGTTAATAGATTCATACAATTTTCTATATAATATGAAAATGTATAATCGAAAAAACTAATAGCCGACTAATTCGAATCAAGACAGCAAATATATTGATTCTATTTTATATACTGTATAATATGAAGATAAAAAAATGAAAATCAAATAGCTGACTAAATTTAATCGAGTAATTATAAAGATCTTCTTTTCATTCTTGTTATATATATATATATATATATATATATATGTGTGTGAAAGACGATCGATTAAATAGAAAGAGAACGAAATAGCTTAGTCTATCTTACTGACTTCGAACATTTCGATTAGACATGCCTGTGTATATAATGAACAAGAAAGAAAGAAAGAAAGAAAGTCATTCAGCTGAATATATGCTTATGACTTCGAATAGTCCGAATATGTATGTGAGTGAATTGCGCTGACATTATACGGTTGCTCTGCGAACACGAAAAATCTTATAACTCAACTTCTACTCAATCGATTTGGGCAATTGTTTTGTTGAAATGCTCCATTCAGTCCGTCCTATTCACCATAAAATTATCGAGGTTTTTATTTGCGTGGTAAGGATTTTTCAAGCATAAAAGATCATTACGAAAGCTGTTTGACAGGANATACCCTTTTTTTGTCATATATCCTTGGTTTCATAAACCCTCAGATTCATAAACCCTTAAAGGGTTTATGAATATTTATAGATAGGGCAAGCGTTTATTAGTCTACGCTTTTTTTTACAGTGTAGGAAGGATCATATGAGATAAAGTCTGTTTCTATCAGGGTTGGCAATTTCAAATTTCCAAAACCAGAAATTTCTTTGAAAAACGTCATAAGAAGGTATTTATCGAAATCATGGAGCTATGTAACTGGCTTTTTCGGAAGAAAACGTGACCTTTCGCTTGCGAAAGTGATTGATATCTTCTGCTATCAAGTTATTTACGTGCACAATTTTGTTGAAACGGAATCAGAACTTTCCACAAGTAGTGAAGATTGTGATACAAGATTTCCCTCTAATGTATTTGATATATCATCGATCTTATTTATCTTTCTTAAAAAAATTCGATTTTTAAAGTTTTTTTATCTACAGTATTATAGTTGTTAACATCGAAATTTTCACATGCGGTAAACACGGTTTATTATACGTTGCACTTTCGTAAGTCCTTACAGAGCTTATAGTTCTGCTCCTTTTTATACCGTAGACAAAAATGCAGTAGGTGGTTAAGCAAGGCGCAGTGTCGCGCATGACTTGCGAATATTTATGAGTTCACGCTCTTAAAAATCGGTCAGATACTTCGCTAAGTGCTGAAGTACCACGTCTACTGTAAGCTTATGCAAATCAGCGAATTTCACAAGGAAGATTTCTGAAGCTACCCTTTCAAGGTCATATACAATATGACCTTGATAAAAAAAGTTAAAGAGGATTTTGAAGAAGTCCTACTAGATGCGAGATATACATCAAGAAAATATTATACATGTAAACTTTGTTGACGTTCGCAGTAATCGATTCGAAACTTAGAAATTAAAATACAGCTTGAGCACTTTTCAAACTTGTTAGACACAATTGTAAAATGTAGTATTTTTCGTTGTTTTCTATTAAATTCTTTTTATTGTTTATATATTTGTTCAGAACAGAGTATAATATCATCACGTCTGACAACTGCTGCATCTCACATACTCAAGGTGTACCGTGGTCAATTAATGAGCTATGAAGAATTTCAACAAATTCAGCAGAATATTGGAGGTTTTATAGCTATAAACACGTTTTTATCCACAACATTAGATAAGACTGCTGCGACGTTCTTTTCTGGTGAAGGAAAGAGTCGTCCAGAATATGAATCAGTTGTATTCTCAATTCATATCGATAAAACAATGGATTATACAAAGACACCATATGCCAATGTTCAACATTTAAGCAAAATGCAAGATGAATATGAGATCATTTTATCCGTTGGTATTTTATTGAAAATCGATTCGATTGAGGAACTTGACAATTATTGGAACATAAAATTAATTGTGTGTAATGAAGAATTTCAACAACACTTAAGCGATTTTGAACAAATGTGGCAAGATGAATGTGATAAGCTTTCTAATGATGAACATCTTGAATATTCAGCAATCTTATATTTGTCTTTGAGTGTAACTTTACTGATGCTAGGTGAAGTTGAAAAAGGCTTTAGATACCTGTACTTACATGTAAATCAATTACCAGAAAACCACCGAAAAGAATACATGAATCGTGGCTTCGAAGGTGCATTCCGTCACATTGATGGGTCAGTAGATGTTGATGAAGAATTCAAATGGGTACATATGTTCGAACCGATATATCAAAAATTTTTCAAGACAAGTGATAAAAAGTGTGATCCACAAGGAATTGAAGAAAATTCAGTACAGATACATGAAAAAGTATTGTTGAGCATTATTTCAACATCCGATTTGGATACGAAACCAGACTATCATCGATTGTTAGCTTACATATATGAACGTCAACAAAACTTTGAAAAAGCATTGGTTCATTATGAAAAAGCACTGGAATTACGATATGCACAACCATCCGTACGTAACAGTGTTGATATAAGTCATCTTCATAAAACTATTGGTGAAATCTATAAACACTTGGAAAGACATATTGAAGCAATCAAACACTTCAATATGTCGTTAGATCAGTTCAAGAAAATTTTACCATTAAATCATTATTTGTATGCGGTGATCTATCAACATATTGGTGAAGCTTATTGGCTTAACAAAGAGTACCACTCTTCATTGAAATATTTCCAACAAGCATCAACGATACTGGAATCATCTGATGAATTTCGCACCAAGTATAATATACCACTTGCTGATGTATATGAACTTATTGCATTGACCTACTTTTTAATAAAGGACTACAGAGAAGCTGTACTTGCAAACAAGAAAGCCATTAAATTAAATATTAATCCATTGCGTTACCGGTTTTATCAAGCTGTATGGGATTGCGGCGAAAGTTATTTTTATTTAAATGATTTTGATCAGGCTTATGAATACTATCAAAAGGCTTTAGATTTACTTTTAAAATATCATCAAAATAGAACTGCAGACATTGCTCTAGCGTACGCCGGATTAGGTCGAACTTGGAAAGAACAAAGAAAATATCATTTAGCATTGGAAAATTTTGAGAAATCACTTCAATATTTCTCAGAAGCATCACTCAACCCTTCGGAAGAACAATGTTTTTCTAATACTTTATCAAAATTGCCGGAAGTGTATAAAGCTATAGCTCATTGTCATTCTAAACTCTCAAGCATCGAAGCCGAAAAAGGAAATCGTGGAAAATTCATAGAATATACAAACCAATCCTTGTTGAATAACAAGAAAGCTTTGGATTTACAAGTAAAATATTTACCTGAAGGCGATCTACGAATAGCTGAGACAAAGTGTCAGATAGCAGAAACATATATGGGTATAGCACGATTCCAAGACAGTGTGAAGCTCTTAGAAGAATTATTAGTTACCTATACCGAAAAGCTGCATTCTGAATATAAGTTGCACGCAAGAATTTACAAAGTTCTAGGTTTTACATGGTCTTTCATGGGTGATTATGACAAAGCTCGAAAATACTACGGAAAAGCTGGCAGTATCATTTTCGATCAACCACAGCCAGACGAAGACGTAGTTAAACAATATTTACAGGAATTGAATGATATGGAGAACTTTATTCTTCAGAATCAAAGTTCGAAAATCTCAAACAGTGCTCCAGCAGATAGTGCTTGCTAAATATGGGTGTGATATAGGCAGCCATGACGCGTTTCGATCTTGCTTAAGGATCTCATCAGACGGCATTAAATCAATATGATTAATTATATATAAATATATAAGAACCAAAAAGACTTATTCTAATTTATACTGTTATAGATACAAAATTTTTTACAAAATTCTATTCTATAATGATAAATTTAGTTCACGGTAGTGTGATATAGGCATTCGGAATAGAGGCATTGCATGATTAATCGAGACTTTTATCCTATTTTCATATGAATATGTATCAGTTGTTTGACTGTTTCATCTTTGTCTTGTTTTCCATGAATTATCTTCTGAAACATTCATTTTTCTTGCTGACTGACAATTGTGCTGTCAGATATATAGCATCGATAAACTATACTATCCTGAGATCAACCGAATCTTCGCAAAGATTATTATATCGAATTATCATAGGTAGGTTTTTCCTCATATGTAATTAGAAATGAGGCAATCTGTTTGCTGATTCTTTTTCCATTTTTCATCTGTTGCGTTTTCTTTGACTTTTTTATGCTGTATACGGTCTTGTTTTCTTATTGTTCGAACACTTTTTCCGATATCAAACCATTTCCTTCTCTTTCATCGTAAGGAATTCCCATTAGTGTTTGTCTAGGCATATTTATCTTCTCTAGTTCATATTCGATATACCCACGTGTTCCGCATATATCAAGTGATTTCGTTCTCTTTCCTTCTCTATGACCTATATATATCCATATAGACATATTTCATGCAATGAAAATTTGCATCATTAATTATAATCTCATTTTATAATTAATTAAGCCCTCTACATTAGATTCATCGTGAATTCATATGTATTATCAAATGTTTCATTCAATTCACCCCTTTTCACCAACCAAACTTAAAAGCATCCATTTCATTACTTAGACAGTCAACACTACTGTCTTACATATAGCATCGATAAGTTAGACTATTCTTAGGTCAACCGAATCTATACAAAAATTGTTATATCGGACTGGCATACGTAGAGTTTGTTTAATATATAGAGAGAAATGAGCCAATCTATTTGCTGACTAAATATATAGACTAAGCAAAATCACTTTCTTTCTTTCCTGTTTATTATACATATATTCGAAATGTTCGAACATCTTAACATAGGCTAAGCTATTCTGTTTTCTTTCCTTCTAATGGATAACCATCTATATATATATACAGCTAGACAATTTTGTTCTTCTCCTATTGCATACTATGCATGACCCTTTGCACTGTAATTTGTTTCCAAATTCTATAAATTGGAAAATCGATCTCAAATAAGCTGAAGCATTTTTAAAGCTTTATGATTTATTCATTGAATTTTGAACAAATTGAAAATGCTTGATTTTCC